ATTTATTTCATGGTATTGTAACAAGCAAACGTTGAATACATTTTTCATTCGTGTAAGAAGAATTATTTAACACGATAAATTTAGCTGTACTATGGTTATTTTTAATCTACGACCACAGGTCAACCTGATTTTTAATCCCTACGAAATTAATTTAACCACGAGTAAGTAACGAGAACGCTAAAACCTATGTTTCCATTGAAGAATATTGTAAAAACGTATAAATTGTTATATGCAATGTTATAACAAATTGTCGGAAGTATAAATTTTTAATAAAATTGTGAAAATTGATAAATTATACCGTGTTACGATATCGGAAATCTCCCGCGAAAATCTCCCGCGAAAATTTCCCGCCTGACCTAACCGACGATTTTGCTAATGACTTTGGGGAGAGGGTACCGCAGGTATATAAGGACCCGCCGATGTCCCGCGAAATCATTTACCCTTTATACTGGGCCCTAGACACTTCGCGGCGTATTTTGACCTGAAGGTTCTGAGATGTGAATAGAGTGGTCGGGGGCTACTAGCTAGTCTATGTCCACCCTGTACACACTCAGCCTTCTTGTAACACTTGTATACATTAGAATCAATTAGAATTTCTATTACTAATTATTAAACAAATTTTAACAATTACCGGCACTCGCTAGGCACGTAATATCAGACTTTAAATACTCGACTTCGAACTTCGGTTTAGTCATAATTCTATTAATGTTATAATAACGTATAATTTATTAATTTTCACAATTTTATTATTAATTTATACTTCCAAAAATTTGTTAAAACATTACATATTATTATTTATACATTTTTGCAAGTTTCTTTGACAAATAAGTACGTTTCAACGATCTTATTACTTTCTCGTTGTGAAATCAAGTTCGGAGGATTAAAAATCAGGTTGACCCTTGGTCGTAAATTTAAAATAGCCATAGTGAAGGTGAAATTATTATTTTAAATAAATGTTTCTATACGAATTAAGAATCTATTCAACGTTTGTTTGTTGCAATACCGTGAAATAAATTGTATTATATATTTTCTCAGTTTAGACTGAATTTAAAGTTCGTAAGGATTAGAAATCAGGTTGACCTGTGGTCGTAGATTAAAAATAGCCATAGTGAAGGTAAAATTATTACGTTAAATAATTGTTTTTATACGAATTAAATATTGATTCAACGTTTATTTGTTGCAATACCGTGAAATAAATTGTATTATATATTTTTTCTGTTTACACTAAATTTAAAGTTCTGTTTACATGTTATAACAATTAGAATGTAGACGTTTTGCCGTTTCACGGTTTTTCCTCTGTTAATTATGTGTTTATAAATCATTTCAAACTAAAGCAGCACCATGCCCACCCTTAATTAAACCGTCTCAGTAGTTTACCGTAATTAATAATCTATTTTCGGAATTTATACGAGAATTTTTGAATTTTAGTAAATACTAGAGTCAGTGCATCGCGTATTGAAATAATAGCTTCATCCCTAGTTCGTTTATTATTGAATATTTTTACGCGTTTAACTTATGCTTCTCCCCAATTCTCGTCGCGTATTTTATTCAAATTTTCTTATATTCTAGAATCGAAAAAGATACGAATTCGCGTTTTTTCTTTTGATTCTTTCAATTTTTCAATTGCATTACGCATTATTGCAATAATTTCTATCGTTACATTTAATTCTAATTGTTTAGCAGCTTTTCTGCTGCTATCGACCCTACATTTTACTGACACTTGTGGAATCGAACCTACATTTTTTTCTTGATGTGGAGGTAGGCCGACTCTATGTGCTAAACAATTGGCAACCAAACGGTGGCTCTCCCTCTACATTCGACGGATAATGTGTAATTTGTTTTTGTAATTCATCCAAAGCGATATATTATGAAATTAAATTAATCACTCAATAAGTTTTAACGTTAGATTGTTTCCTCGATATGGCCATGGTGGTTATCAGTGACTGGAGTGCCTCAAATGTTTAGAATAATTAAAATAAAATAAATGTTGTCAACTAAAAATTTTGAACGTCATAGCTAGCTAGACGTTATTTTCAATTGAAAAAAAAATTATAAAGCATAATACTATAATCCTATGCTTAAAATGTATTTTCTTGTGGCCGCCTGACAGCAACCTGTAAATCTGGCGCGACAGTGAACGTGTTAATAAGTAAATGTTGTTCAAATTATGTCGTGTTTTATGTCATTTTCATCAGAAGAATCTCACCATCATGTTAAAAAACATTCCAGATGAAAAAAAGGAAAATTAAAGAAATTATATTTTTCTATTATGATTTGTCGAGCCGTGAAATGTCGTAAAGGAAACCGACTGGTGTAGCGTTACATGCTTGACTGACTGCGAGCGAGATAACATGGGTGTAGCAATGACGCAACCTGGGCGTAGGACCATCTATACTGTCACTTGTAGAATCCAAACTTACTGACTCTTGTAGAGAATTTACTGTACTAGGAAGGCCCCCAGGATTTCACCTAATTGCCGGAAAAATTTTCAAATGAATCACCAGAAAAAGAGTATTCGTTTTTTTATAATATTATTTTCATACCATATTAGGGCTAAGTTACTTTGCAATTGAATGAAATGTACTACAAATAATCTGTTAATCCCTAAAATTGGGAAAAATCCTGAAGAAGTCACCTCATACAGACCAATAAGCCTACTTCCTATATTATTCTAAATGAAAATTACTCATCAACAGAATAAACCTAATAAACAGAGTATCTCCTGGATACTCAGATGATAAAAAAAACAGATTTGAATCGCCATAGTGACGTTATTTAATATTGTTAAATAAAAAGAAAATATGAGCTGCTGAGCAAAACATCTATATAAATCCACTATTGTATTGTATAATGTTACAATTGAAACTAAAATATTTGCTTATTGTTATTTTCCAACACATGGTGGTCGAAACAAAGATAACATAAAGAAAGAGAGAAATATTTTTGTTTGAATTGTAACGTGTTCTTCGAATTCAAGGTTCAGTGATTGTCTTCGCAACGTACCGCTAACGTGCGAGCGATGTATCTCCTCGGTTGCGAGCACGCGGTAACTTCCGGTGTGATTATGTTCCGGCAGGCTAACCACCACCGTGAAAGGTGTCTGCAGAATTCCTGCATAGTCGTATTTCCTCTTTACTCTGCCCACACGTTTCTTCAGTGGTGTTCATAAGTAATAGAAAAAAACAAAGAAACATTTTATCAAACTTTTCAATAGAATTCAATAGACTGTGGAATTCATAATGTCCTCCTAATTTATTTATTTATTTATTTCTATGGATATGGATCGAGTTGTATAACAAAACGGTAGACAGAAGAAAGCAGATGAAAAAATATCGATAGTTACAAACGTCGAAGAACTTAAAGTTTAACGAGGTAGACGTTGATAAGGATGACGGGCGACTTACCATATCGTCATAATGATACTTGGTGTGCAGCGTTACGGTACCGTTCGCCTGATTCACCACGTCATGCCGAAGCTACGAATAAATTACCATTAGTAATGCTAATTGCCGTCATTAAAGAGGACGAATAATCAGGAGTTACCATAGTGATTCCCTCAGCGAATTCTCTGGGTCCTCTATCCTGATCCATCAGCTCAACCTCCGCCATGTCGACGCTGTTGTACGCTGGTTTTAGGATCCCCTGAAACTGTAGTACCATTGTATCAACGATTACAGTGATCTAAAGTTACATCAAGGTACTAATAACGTCATAGATCGTTAACATTATAAAAAAAAAAAACAGATGTTAGTATGAAAAAAAAATATCGATGACCTTAGAATGATCTCTAAGATGATCTTGAGTTCATTATAAGTGAAAGATTCTGTACATATATAGTTCATCTCACAATCTCTGGTGTTGAACCTCATTATAAATATTTCAGTTAGTTCTTTTTGTATTCATTCTAATAAAATACCAGCCATATCGGTAAAAGTATAATTGTTATTAAACTTGATTTATTGGAAAACGGTAAGGCAGTGTCCCATGACTTATGGACGTGAGTGTATGTACGTGTGAAGTGGTTTTGCCGTTTTGAAAGTACTCAACGTAGATCCTTCTTTAACAGTATTAACGATCCTTCGTAGGAAAGATTCTCACCACTGGTCGGAGGTCAGGATGAATCAGGATGAAACCGTTATTCGTCACAATGAACGCGTATCCATTGACGCCAAGCTGTATGCAAGGATTAAGAAAATTAACAATTAGTGAATTGGCAAATATTTCAATTTCTTTCTTTTAGAGAAAAATTCTCACTCACCAGGTGTGGCATCATGAGTTTCTGTATCTCCTCGATAGGAACGTCCGTGCCAGCGACGCCGAGCAGATCGGCGATTCGTGTCTGCGCAAAGAACCAATACATCGTTTTAACGGGATCCTATTGTACCAGGATATATCGTGTTATTTTTGTACTTTTTTTTTGTATTCTGATGTTGTGTGTCGAAATCAATTTACGTATTCATCATCATCCCAAGAATCGCATAACCATAAGCGTATCTACCTTCTCCAA